CTTTGGCAAACTTCCTGTTATCTCTATCTCCCAATAACAATCCTTTTTAGCATTTATCCATAAAGAGTGAGCAAAAAGAAAAAGGGAAATCATGTGAGAAACAGTCTGACGGGCTGGCAGACAGGAGGGGTGCCCACTGCGCAGTTGAGAAAACAGCTGATTTTTCCAGGATGGATTTGGATCCTGTCTGACAGGCGCCACAGATGAAAAATGAAGAGAAGTAAAAGGAGTAGTGTGGGTGAAAGATGTGAGGTCCGTGAGCATTACCCCCAGAGAGAGATGGGAGGCGCTGATGGAGTCAGGGAGAATAGGACTGGGCAAGGACCCTCCGCCGTGGGGCCTCAGAGACAGGTTTACTGTCTTAGCAGAGTGACTGGCTAGAGAGATGAATGGCCCGAGGGTGGCCTAGGCACCTGTGGAACATTGAAAGCATCCAAGGAAATCCTCTAGAATGTTGGGAGATCCTTTTTTGGAGCATTTGTAGAAAGATGAGGATGAGAAATGTACAGAATGGGCAGGAAAGGACTGCCATCTGTGCCAAGGGATGGAACACCCACCCTGGTGAGATCACCAAACTGGAGCATCTGGGGGGGGGGGGGGGAGGTTAGACCAGACATGTGATTGCCCTGTCTGAGGGAACTCCACTGAGGATCTGCTGCCTCTGGTGCAGATCAGCTGTTGCTCTGACACCTAGCCTTACTTATCTAGGGCACCGATTGTTTAGCTGACGTCTTTTTTTAAAATGTATTTATTTTAATACTGGAGCAGTTTGCCATTTCCTTCTCCAGCTCATTTGACAGATGAGGAAACTGAGGCAAACAGAGTTAAGTGACTGGCCCAGGATCACACAGCTGGTTACTATCTGAGGTCAGATTTGAACTCAGGTCTTCCTGACTCCAAGTCTGGTGCTCTAGCCAACCCCACCACAACAGGAGCGAGCTAACAGTGTGACCATAAATCATGGCTGAGAAACACTAATAAAAGTTTGGCAGACTGCTAAAAAAAAAAAAGGTCATTTCATACATTTTGGAAGTTTCTTTCCATGACTCTTACTGGGGACTAAATAGCATATGATATAGGTCCTCCAAGAACCCTTTCTTCGTCCTCCAGGCCGTTACTGCCACCCATTCAAAAAGAGATCCCTCTATATTTATTTTATTCCATGTTTACTGCCCCCCCCCTTCGGGACATTGCATCCTAGAGTTGGAGGAGAAAGGGACCTGAGATGGCCCAGGTCAACCACCTCATCTGACAGAGGAGGAAACTGAGGCCCAGCGAGGTTAAGTAACTTGCTCAATGTCACACAAGTACTGAGAATTTGTCGAAGGTGGAATTTGAACCCAGGTCCTCTGACTTCAGAATCAGGGCTCTATCCATCAGACCCCACAGAAGGCCTGGTTATCTATGAATGTGCCTGATCCCTCAGTAGAATTGGAAGGCAGGACTGCCTCACTTTAGTCATATCCCAGATCCTAGTCAGGTGCCCGGCATGGGGTGGGCACTTAATAAATACTTGTTGATTGGTTGAGATTTAAGTGCTATTATAGACACACAATACTATATAGACATATATATACACACATATATATACACATGTATACATATACACATACCAATATAAACACATGCATGTAAACATATGTACGTATACCACGCACACTAATATACATACCTATATATAAACACATGCACGTGCATTTACAAAAACACATCTACATATACATGCACGCATACACACGTAAAACACATCCATGCACACGGAGACACACACATACATAAACATACAAGAGAAGGACTACCGCTTAGTATACACCAAGCTGGCCTTGGGGTCGGGAAGGTCTGGATTCAAGTCCTGCCTTTGACCTATCCTGGCTGTGTATCCCTGGGCAAGTCACCTGACCTCTCAGTGCCCCTCTCTAAGACATTATATTCAATAAACATGTATTGAGTACCTACTATGTGCCAGGCATGCACTAAGCACTGGGGACACAAAGAAGGGTGAAAGATAGTCCTTGCCCTCAAGGAACTTACAATCTAATGAGGTGGGGGTGGGGGGGCAACATGCCAATAAATCTATACAAGCTATATGCAGGATTAGCGGGTTGTTGTGCTGTAGTCAGAGGACCGAAATGACGTCACTATGTTGGAGTCAACAAGGACATAATCAAAAGAAGGGAAGCATAGGAATACGAGGGCTTGGAGAAGGCTTCTGGGGGTTTGGATTATGAAGGGCTTTGAATGCCAAACAGAGCACTTTGTATTTGCTCCTAGAAGTAATAGGGAGCCACTGGAGTTTACGGAGTAGGGGAGATGACATGATGAAGTAACAGCTGAT